TTATGTGGGTGTCGTCCTTTTTGTGTTTTATGATGGCAGGCACCATAAATAAGGCATAGATGATATTGGAATATGTTTTTTGTAAAACATTGAAAAACAGGTTACCACTGGCTAGTAAAAAAAGGAAAACCTACATTTTGTAGCTAATATACTTAAATCATTATGTAATCTAAGGCTACATAAGTGCCTAAGTGAAATATATTTGGAAGGTTTCTAACTAGTGAATTTAAAACTGTCTACACACATACGAGTCTGATTGTACAGTCTCTTTTAGATTAACCTACAATTGTGCCAAGTAAAGGCAATCATCCCAATTAAAATGCGACCAGGTGTGCCCCTGCACTATATTGCAGCATTGCTAAAGTTTAGTAATTTTGTTTAGGGTGGGGGGTGGGAAGAGAGACACAGCGCCAAACACATTAGATATGTGTAATGGTGTAAAAATCTTCTCCTCACTGTGAGTGAGAGGAGTCTATCAGCTGTAAGAAGTTGCGCTGTTGTTTCCTATTAGTATATCCCAATAAGTTTGCTATGGTGTATTTCCAAAAGAAAAAAAAATGACTAAACTTCAGCTGTAAACATATTGCACAATCAATTGTAATTTGTATGATCATTTTAAGGGAATTTAACTAAACTTAGTTACCATGCCCCCTCCAATTATAAGATTTCATTATTCTTCCTACATAACATTTGCTGGACAAATAAGCGCTTTCTTGGGGGCATATCTTCTGCTATAGCGATGCGACTACTAGTTGTACTGCATTTTAAGAATAATCTTGTTTTTCCCTCTTGTCAATATAGCCTGTTCTTAGGTATAATATGCAATTCATATTCAAAGTTAGTATTTAGTGTGCGTGTAACGTCAAAGCCCTAACATAAGTTGTACAGATTTCTATTACAGCAGTATAATCTTTAAAGGGTTAGATAAAGAAATAAATATATTATTTACTTGGAAGTAAATAAGGCAGAGAGTAGCTGCCATGTATTATTTATTTGATGATAGCTAAGTAAGTTTGGAGCAGTGGACACCCACAGCAAACAGAGTTAGTCTTAAAGTGTATCTAACTCCCCAAAACATTACTTTCAGACCACAAGAAGTTACAAGAACACAAGGTTTAGGACAGGATTAACAGATATGTTCCTCGCAGAGAATATCCTTAGCCTGAAAAAAAAACAAAAAACGAATACAGTCACCTCATCTAAGAACTGTAATATATTACATTTTTTGTTCCTGGGTTTAGATACAGTATATTTAAAAAAACTAAACCAATAAGGGACCACTTCCGTGTTGGTACACATTGCACATTGTTTTTGAACTACCTAATATAGGTCAAGGATTTATTTTTCATATAAAGGCAAATAGGCAAGCTGTATATAGGATTTCTATAAACTAGTAATGTGGGATTAACCAGTTAAGAAACCCTGATCAAGATTATTGTATTGGGTCCAATCCATTACTGTGTAAGGATCATGCCACCAAACATGAAGGGTTATCTAGGATATTGCAGCAGTAACAGGAGTAGCAGAGATGATGAATTGGTGAACATACACCTGTGCGGTCTGTCCAGTGACCAACATGTGACTGTACACAGGGTGTTCCCATCCAGCATATTAAGATGTGGAACTTGTCAAGCCACCCAGATGCTGACCTCCCCAAACAGACAACTAGATCTAATTGTATTGCGATAGACATTTGAATTAATAGGAATCAACCGGGTAATGCCCTTATTTCTGGTTACCACCCTGGCTCAACTACCATGGAATAGATGCAATAGATAATCTGAATTGTCTATTATATAATGTCACATGCCTATAGACATGTGATTCATGTCACTGCTCAGAAATCCAGGCTAGATATAAAAAAAAAGAATGTGGTGGGAGCACCCCCCTACCTGGACCAGTACAAATATGATATGTTGGTCTGTTGGGCCTAAATGGAAATATTTCACTATTCAGATTTTATTTAGAGTAGGACTCACAGTCAGTGACATATGCTGGCCGTTATATCTGCTCCCCATTCCGACCTGTGATTATAGCACCTGCCAGAGGAAAGTCTTCAAGCACCAACTTTTGCAGATCTAAGATATCACATGACTATTCTGACTTTAAGGAAGATGATGCTGTAAGTTATTAAAATGTGTGTCACAATAAACCATTCCCTTTAGCAACACCCACTTTTACCATGGCCCTCCAATCACTGTAGGCATGAGTGGATTTAGAATTGAAAAGCCACACCATTCAAGTCCAAATATGGGTTTATTCCAATAACCAATAGTTTGCAAAGTCAGCATGTTTCAGGGGCTGTACCTCTACCTCCTTCATCTAGGTTGCTTGAACCATCTGCTGCTGAATTGCTGTTTACAATAATTTCAATAATATCCCACAGTAGATATTACATTGTTCCTAAGCTTTGATAAAGGGTGCAGAGGTAAGGCCCCAAAACACTTTGGTTTTGCAAATATTGGATTAAACTTGTTTTTGGATTTATATATTAACTTAAATTCTAAATTCACTCACCACAACCAAATGTAATCATGGAAACCCTGTGGTGTGTGGTTATTTCCTTATTAAGTAGAAGCTGCCAGCCCAATATTCAGATTCTCTACATTTACAATAATATCATACTTTTGGATGACAACAATAATATACATTAAACATGTAAATAATCTTCAATATTTTACTTGAACCCTGAAGATTCTTTATATGTTTACTTTATATTATTGTTTTTATCCAATATTATGGTAATGTTGTAAATGTAGAGAATCTACAATCACCATGGCACATATTTTACAATGTGTTTGGTCTACAGCAGACAGTTACTACCATGAATGGGCCAGTTGGTTGTGTTTGTTCCCAGAGCAATGTTTCCCAGTTTTCCCCTTCTAGATAATCATGATAACAAAGCATGTGTTGTCTTTTTTTCTATATTGCACCATTGGCGAGATTTCTTTTTACTTCCTTTCTCAGAAGCACAGTGGGAAGTGAGTGGAAATCTTACCTTAGACAGTTGTCATCCCCACTGGATGTTTACCATTCATCTTCTTTTCTGGTCACAAGTTCTCTATTTATTTATCCCTGTCTGTCCAGGTAATAATGATGATCATGACAAATAAAAAGGCTGAATCTCACCAGCAGGGATACAGACAGCAATAAAAACATGAAAAGGGTTCTTACTGTTCCTTATTCCTTGCATAACTGAAAATGCATTTTTTTTAGAGATACATTTTGCTGTGACATATTAACAAAATGACACTAAATGCGGAAGTTAAATCTTAAAATTGTATTCAAGTACCGTAACTATTAACAAAAATGTATCTTATTTGTGTATAACTCTGGTGTAGATCCTCAAATCATCTCTGAATTGGTGCTTTCTGGAGGGGGGCTACTTTTGTTCCCTAAGGTCCCTGTGTGTGTTGTGAACTAGTCACCGCTCCAAGCTCACTCCTGTGATGAACTTCAATCTTGCATTTAGTTTACTAATTTGTATTAAGATTGTAGTTCATTACGGACTAATTTTTGTTAATAGCAAAGGTACTGTAATGCATTTTTAAGATTTAACTCCTGAGTTTAGTGTCACTTTAATGCTACAATCATTAGTAACAGTTGGGCTGTGGATGTTGCCAAATAATTTTTGCCACTGCATTGTTATGTAAGCTTTATACATAACATAATTTACTCAGGTCTCCCTGGAACCATACTAAATAAATGCTTTATGACTAACAGATGGTATCACTTCATACTTTCCTTGTGAACCAGATTAGCCTGTACTGCAGAGATTACACCTATACTACTGTCAATAAGAGCAGGCAAGACAAGGGCAAGGTTGGGAACCCTGCCCACGTTTCGTTTTGTCACATGACAGGATCAGCTGAGAGAAATATTTGGCAAGATGCAGTACAAGTACAACTGAAGAACCCGCCAGTTTCACTGTATGTCTCTACATATTTCAAAGGGGTGTGTTACCTTAGTCACCTTTATCTTTTACACTGCCGTGCTTTATGATCTAAATAAATGTCCTAATTATCTGGAAAGGTTGGTGATCTACAAAATGGTATGCTACTGTGGGCTACACTTTTCATTATGTTATTCTTTCCCCATAGTTTCAAATCATAGCTTTGTTTTGTTGGATTTAAACCAGAAGCTAAATAAGTTATGCACAAGGAAAAATGTATTTACTTACACTTATCTGTACTGAACTATAGTGGAATGCAATTACTGTATTGTAACTTTAAAAGAGGGCAAGCACAGTTGTCCAGGGTAGAGAGCAGAGAGAGGCCTTTTTATTATTATTGGCATATAATTGTATCATTGCAAAAGATGTGTTGAATGTGTTGAAAATGTAAAACGGGGCATTGAATAGCATTATACTTTTTTTTTGGAGGTGCTTACTTATATTCTGTGCTGAAGTATACAAGGGAGGTTGGGATATTGTACCTTGTAATTTGTCTTTGCCTTTAAAATGCATTGTATATATGGCATACTTAGTGAGACCATCGAATAAAATGATTATAGGAGATTAACATTGTAAAAGCCATAAAACTCTATCCTTGGGGATTGACCCAAGTAATATGGTCATGGCCCCCATACCCCCTAACAGTATACATAGACTAAACAACATATAGTGGGGTTTACAAGATGCTTTCAACACACAATGTACATAAAAATAAAATGTATTGAAACACTTCATAAAACCATCAAACAAAAATTAGAAACCCACAATTAAAAACAGGTTACTATCCCCTCATTTTACAAATTATATTTTTATGTACATTGTGTGTCGGAAGTGCCTGGTAAACCCCACTATATGTTTTTTGGTCTGGACTTACAATGTAGGCAACATACTGTATGTGATGTGTGATATCATAAATTAAATTATGAACTATTTATGAAATAATAAACTATTTACCAAAAAAGATTTATTAAATCATAAACTATTTAAAATGTACTCTAATTTACCAAAATGTTAATATCATTTTTTGTTTTCTTTTCTTTTTTGCCAGTTTCAGAAAATCTGTTCAGGAAGATGTCTACTTACAAATTTGGAAGTGGTAACGATTGAATTATACATTATTTGAGTAAAACCTATTTATTTACTTAATCTTTTTATAAGATATGTAATCTGCAGGTGCAGAAAATTAATCCACAGCAACTAAGAAGAAATCTGCTTTCTTTAGGGTTACTAGGTGATACCCATTAAGACAGTTTAGGTAAACATCATTTAGGTAAACACCATTGATTTGTGCATAGTGGTGCTAATTTATGAAAACTAGAGGTATTGCCCATAGCTACCAATCAAATTGCTGGATTACTTGATTATTTATTTAAACCAATTTGGTTGGTACAAAGCTATACTATAATTTTTTTTTACCATCAATTAGCAAATATGATGGGCAAAGTGTTGTAATGTCCACCATTCAGAGATTAAGAATATAGGATTCAAAGATTTAAAATATTTGTCTCAATAATGTAAGCTCCATGATAAACAGATTGGGAGTCCTCATACCTGGACTGATTTATCAAAGTGACTCATATAACAAATGTCTGTGTTGTCCTACATTCAATTATTATATTCAAATGTGCACTGCAAAATGGAATTTAGAGAATGACAGTTGTAGTTTGATTAATGCTATGAGACAAAAAAAAACAGAACCCTGATGTTCTGCTCCACGATTTGACAGACTGAAGCTGTGGTCAGTTGCTTTTTTTTATATCAGATTTAATGACACCATCCTTTTTTGGGTCCAGTTATCACCAGTGGTCAACTCTACATACTAGATCAAAAAGCCGAGGCACCACCAAATGTAGAAGAGTCCAAAGGAGTTTTTATTGGTAACAATAACATTCATGAGTCCATTCCCTAAGGGATTCCCATTGTGAATTACACTTGAAGCCCTGATGAAGGGAGCCTCTCTCTGGGCAGGTTAATAACACTTCCTAGACTCCAATTATGCAAATACAATCAACACCTGTTTGTGACTAAAAGATTATGTGGATTGGAGCAACATTCACCATATTTATTACCAGATAATTTTTTGTACAAGTCATTCTGAATTGAGAAAGCTGGTCGACCAGTGTAACGTCTTCAAGAAAAATACAGCAAGTCCAGTTGCCTTGACTTATTTTTTTACAGATATACCATGACCTGGATGAATGACAACCTTCACAGACACTTGATGTCATGTTCTAGGAAATACTCTTCAGGACTATACAAGCTTGCCTTAAAATGTAGCAAGTTATCTCAATTGTGTTTTTTCCTTTGTGGTGTTTCTGGCAGACCCTAAAAGTAATACCCTGGGATCTACGAACAGGCAGAATGTGATACAGGAGACAAACAAGAAAAGAACCTTACTAAAGGATAGTAGCTGGATAAAATCAAAGCCGGAAGAGGAAGAGGAAAAAATGTAAGAAAGTGTAACATTCAAATGTGATTAAGGTTTTTCCTATCCTAACATTCAGTAACTTTGCAAGTTGTGTTACTGAAATATAAGGATTTTATATTCAGCCTATTCAGTTATTCTGGGTGTAATAAAATTAGATGTCAGGGCTATGCATTATTGTCATTATTCTTCCCATGCTCTGCAATACATTTTAAACTAAGGGGCTTTTCATGAAGCAGCCGAAGGATCTAGCCGTAGCTTCGGCCGATTCTTCAGCTACCTTCGGCCCCAGGACCCCTTGGGTTCAGTAGAACCAAAGGGCTGCTCTACGGGATATTCACTATAGCCCGTACAGCTATCGAACTTGGCCGAGCGGCTCAGTGGAGCCGAAGGCATATGCCTCGGCTCGGCTGAGCCGCGCTAAGAGCCGAAGCTGGCCGAGCGGCCGGCCGACAGCCTGCTTTTGACAGCTGGGCGGAGCCAGCTGTGATCTTACGGCTGGCTCCGGCCACTTTCAGAGAACCTCCAGACAGTCTACCTCTCCCGGGCACTCCGGGAGTCTCCCGCTCCCGGCTGCCCAGGGGAGAAACACTGCTTTTTCTTTTATTTTTTATTCTGACCCGCCCCCAAAAATGTTTCCTTTTTTTGACGGTAGCAGAACCGCCGGCCAATAGAAAACTGTTGGGTGGAGCTAGCTGCCATTGCTAGCTCCACACAATCGTTTTCTATTTTATTTTTCACTTTTTTAACTATTTTTCTGTTCTGCTCGGTCCCTCTGAGGGACTTATATGTCATTATTTAAGTGCCACTCAGTTCAGGAGGAAGACCTGCCCTGTCCACTGCTGCCAAATTAAAAGATGAAAAAACCAGGCAAGACCCAAGATGGCTTCAGGAGGAGGAGGAGGAGGCTGGAGTTCTCCTTCAAGACTAAATATCCAGATTCTTGCATAATCCAAAATGTCACTGCTTCTTCAATGGGCGACCAATTTACAGAGCATGAATATTCTTGTCCCATACTTTACAGTAAAGAAGAAAACTTTGGGAGAAGTGTACTGAACAAATACAAATCCACGGAACACCTAGACAGGTAATGATAGCTCTTCTGGCCTGCCAATGCTGTTAATGCTCTAACAAAGTACAACTCAGTTATTTCTTGTCTTTTTTTTTCTATATAAATGTGAAGTGAAGCGAACAGGTCTGTTGTTGATGACACTCTGTTTACAACACTTAGGGATCTATTTATAAACAATCTGCAGAGCCATTTGCCCTGTGAATCTCTGTAAACGTTCATTATATGCAAATAGAAGCAAACATTTACTTTGTTAGTATAATTTTCTATTCAGGTTGAATGTAATGTAATACTGCATTATATCCCCTAGATGGAGCTAAGGAGCATATGAAATAAATACTTATATCCTTCGCTCCTCCCCGCCATCTAGGGGCCATAATGCAGTATTACATTACATTTACCCTGAAAAGAAAATATATTAACAAAGTTTATTTTTGCCTTTATTTGCACATAACAAACGTTTACAGAAATTCGAAGAGTGAATGGCTCTGTAGATTGTTTATAAATAGACCCGTTATAGATTTAATAACAATACACTAATATTAATAACAATAAACTACTGTATAATGAGAAAAAATCTGAGTGAAAGAAAAATTTTGTTTCTGTTGCCATGAGTGACCCATTGAATTCAGAGGTTTTCTAAAATACAGAACCTAGTTCTTTCTACAGCTGACCAGACATGGCCAACCTATATTCTACAAATCTTCTGTTGAAATAGACATGTACTGTACAAAAATTTTTGATTTGCCTGAATATCATATTATATGCTGGGCTGTTTACTTTTGTTTTCCAGGGACAATGATAAAGAAGAGAAGACACCCATACACAACAGGTTCAAGTCAGATGATGCTTTGGACAGGTATTGTTTGCGTGCATTATATTCAGTGTTTGTTAGGCTAATTCCTTAAATTGTGAGTTAGTACAGTGTCAGTTGAAATTGTAAGAATCCATAAGAGGGACACATCACCTGAAAAAAAGCAAAAAACAAACAAAGCCTGGGAATATACCAGAAATGGCTATATTTGTTTCAAAAGCAGCTTTCATTTTCCAAAGGCCCTGTACACTCTCATTCTTGGGCTGCATAATAGTGCTTGGAAAGTAACTTTACTCATCGTGAAAATGTTTTATCGTCATTGCCTCACAACTAGTATTTGCGCTGAAAAGCCACAGCTATCAGATAATGGAAGGTTCTTCTTTAAAGGAGAACTATGGGGTTTAAGGCTTTTCCCCATAATTCTCCTTAGGGTAACGGGAGGACACAAACTAGCGTCCTCCCGTCACCCTAAGCTACTGCTCGCGGTATACTGAGACGCCGCAGCTGAAGCGGATCCCGACAATTATGTCTGGATCCACCCAGCTGCGTGAGTGACAGCTGGCTCTGCCTATCTAAAGGCAGAGCCAGTTGTACCCGCCCCCTCCCCATCTGATCCGCCAGTCGGCGCTGGCAGATCGGAGCGGGAGGGGGGAATCCAGCCCCTCCCCTATCACAGCAGAGAGGCTTGACAGGATTGAGAGGTGAGCGAACGCCGGTATGTGTTCGCTCACTTCTCGACCTACTGAGCCGACCTGTGACAGTCTCACTGTCACAGGTCGGCTAGAACTATGACGTGAGAGAAAAGCACTCACCTCATAGTTCTCCCTTAAGCTCGCCAGCAACATTACAATCTGATTGTACAGTCTTCTTTAGATCTACCAACACCTATGAAGTGCAAGGGCCTTCCTAATCGGATACAGATTGATTGCATAGATTAGGTTGGATTTCATATTACATAGTCGACTGTATGGTCAGATTGCAAGTGTATGGAGGCCCAAAGGGCTAGGGTACAGGGGCATTTGCGAAACATTTACCATGCATTTGCCATGCATCATTTACTGGTATAAAGGAAAAAAATTAAAGCACAAAGCAGACTCTAGAGTGTTCTCTGACTAACATTAAAGTGACCCTGTCTTTATGAAAAACAAACTTTGAACAAAGGGCAGTCTGTAAATAAGACTTTTTTTTAACTTACCCTTCTGGTGGGCTTAAAACTTGAAGAGCTCTGCGTGCTGTTTCTATCTGATACTTTCCAATATTCCAATATTGTGTCCAATAGTGTTTCCAGTCTCCTGCTGGGCACTGTGGTTCCTCCTACAAGGACTAGCAATAGAGTTGTAGGTGGTCAGCAGGAGGAACTACAGCACCCGGCAGGGAAATTTCCAGGTGTATTGGGTAACTGCAGCACCCGAGCTCTTCAAGAGAGTGATTTATGAGCAACACCCCACAAAAGCCTCTGGGTTAATTGGATAACAGCAGCACACAGAGCTCAACAGAGTGAATTAAGAGTGGTACCCCACTATAAAGGTAAGGGAAGGCTTCTTGTTTTACAATCAACCTTATTTTACAGGGTCACTTAAAGCAACCTTTTCCTTTGCCAATGTATATCTCTGCCGAATGTAATTCCCTGGTTTAAAATCACTGAACAGACATTTTGTTCTATTTTGTACCCCGGGAGCCAGTTATTCCCCCATTGGGAGCCACCATTTTTTCTCTCTAACAGCAAAGGGAAGGTTAAGCCAAGCTGTCAATAATAGCATGTCAAAAACACCTTTTTTGGCTTTCTATGACGGCATTGAGTCACTGGTCTCTGCATATATCAGCAGCCAGGAATAGTGGTTAGAGATAGAGATGATGGCTTATCTTTTGACTTTTTTAATTTGCATATAAGTTACAGCACTGATTTGTCTGCATGTTTCAGGGTAAGAAAGAGTGTGTTTGAAACAGCTTATGGAGCGGATTATAAAAGTACCAATGTTTAGAAGCTTGGGGAATGGAAAGATTTCCTTTAATTAACTCATCTCCGAAGCCTGTATACACTAGTCTTAAGGTACCCAGAGACACGAGATGAGTGTTTGCCTGCTCTAGCTGATTCTTATATCTGTAGATAGAAGTAGACGGCAGCAGGTGATGGGGGCTCTCCAGAGAGTCAGCTATTGGCTGCATTAAATAATTCTAAAAGATCGCTACAGTGTCAGGTGGTGTCTACCGCCCTCATTTCTCTATAGCTAAAAGCTTGCACACTCAGCTGATCCAAGCTCACATGTTTCTAGCAGGATATTTAGAAAAATATGTCTTTAGGCGGTCAGTTTGTGTCAGCACTTCAAACCTCCATCTAAAGTCTATCACCAGCTTAACAGTATCATTGGAAGTAACGGAGTCTGCCAAAAAAGGAATTAGATCATACAAAGAAATTAAGGAATATTGCAAGAGTCCACAAAACAGAGAATCAACTGCACATTTTGGCCATTGTTGGTTGATAACTGTATTTCTACATAGGAAAGAGTAAACTAGGTTGTTTAAAAATAAAAAGCGTTCATGTGTTTTTAATGCATGTTATTGTGTATCTAAATCGTGAATAATTAAATCTGCATGCTCTTTACACTGGTTATTTAATATCATATATTCTTCTACTGACATGTAACATGACTTAATGATGTTAATATTGTAATCTAACATTATTAATTAATATTCTTTTATTTCTCACGCATCATACATTTAATGCATTCTTAAGCTCATTTCTTTTTTTGGGCGTTTACTTTTTAATAGCCAATAGTAGACATATTCTTATATACCTCATTATTACTATTATAGTCCTTCTTGGTAACACTCATTGCAAGTAATCAGTGAGTACTATCTACAAGGCTCAAAGAAATTAACTTTTTGCAGCACACACTTCTTGTTTTGCAGCAAAGCTGACACAACAAGAAGCAATGGTATATACCAGTTTGTATGAAACCTATGTGAGTCCCCTAGTCCAGGGAGACGTAAAGGCTTCATTGGTAATGTAGTGCAGAAAATGATGAAGTGCCAAATTCTGTCTGTTTTACACATTTTTCTTTATCTTACCCCTTGGGTGGTTCTACACATTCTATTATTTTTTTATATATAGTTTTAATAAAATTAAACATTTAATATTAAATTATTGCAAATATTGATGCACAGGTGGCTTTTGATTGTGCTATTGTAATCTCACCAAGGCTGTGATCAATTAGGCTGTGTAAATGCCTTAAAATAAACTATTAGATGCTCTCAGTAGAAATCTCCATACAGTTTCCTTGTTTGATGATAAATGAACAGACTTTTACTAAAAAGACTAAGCCAGTGGTGGTCAACCTAGTTAGGTATAGAGGTCCGCAACTGTGAACCCTGATTTCACCAAGGGGCCATACACAGTAGTCTGTAGGGAATGCCAGGGAAGGCTGTTTGGGACTGCAAACATACTACAAAAGCTGGTCAGAAGTTGCTACTAGTGTGGTTTGTGACTAGAGACATACAGCAGGAGACAGAGAATGTGGTTATGCTACAGGTATGGTTGGGGGGCACATGTTACGTAAGACTGCTATAGAATCACTTCAATCACAGCACCTTTACAAATCAATGTGCCAACTACTGGCTGCTGCAGGCCTTTGGTTGCAGATTGGGCACCAGTGCTCAAGGCTTTGCAAAGTCATTCATGGTACCTTTAGTAAAAATGTGTAAAGCCTGTGCAGTTGTAACGCTCCCTTACATGTTTCTCATTGGCAAGCATATCCTCTCTTTTCTTAACCTGCCATTTTAAATCAATTAGTAAGCAGCTCCAAAACTACCACATAGCTTGGAGCACTAGGCAGTTTCTGATGTGTTGCAGCCTGGTCTTGGATACTGATTTGAGGCAGATGACATTCAAAGGCAGTTGTTTATTGTAGCAGAAGAAACAAGCGAATCCAAGCACAGTGCTAGCTTTACAGCAGCATTGTAGCTTATTTCAAACAGGTGATCATCAGAGGAGAGGCCCCCCAATTCCTTAGCAGCATGGGAATGGAAGCCACAATGGTTTTACATTGTCTAGTTGAAAGTGAAAAATCTCCTCAAAATGTTTTATTTTATCCCACATAAAATGTCCACATTTATTGTTCCATTTGACCCACAGGAACCAGGCAATTACTTGTGCAGTCACAAGGCTGTAGAAGTTTACAGTCCATTAGTTTAGAATAATAGAAATCTATGCCAAGAGAAATATGGAGGTAACCATTGATGAACTCCATCTATGTAAATAGCTTGGCTGGCAAAGTGAACAGCCTATTTGTCTTTAGTAAATCAACCCCTGTGGGTTTCATTTCAGAGTCACAGAGCTGGACCATGTACGCAGATAAGGAATTCCAACTTCACTTGCTGTATGTTTGTTCCAAGCCAGAGACAGCCAAGGAAATAACATTTGTAGAAGATCTGCACAATTATGCAGTCACTGCATGACATTACAATAGTACAATCTACATTCTCTCACATAGAAAAGCCCTTACAATAAGTTGACAAAATCACAAATAATTTATTTATGAGTTTGGTACAGGATATTAATGAAATAATCAGTGACACCTTTATTAAAATTTATGGTAACATATTTTCCCACAGAATTTCATTGAGAAATACGTCTGAAAGAGGAAATAAATCTGCAACACTGGAAAGAATGCCCATGAGGTAGCCTTGCAAATCAAGGAGAGCTTAGCTATGCGTTTCACATAAATCTGTGGATTTTACGTTATTTTTATTTGACACAAATTACAAGCTTTATGCAGCTGGTTGTAGTGCTTGGCAAGGCTTCTCCCACATAGGCTTGATACTACTATATGGGAAAAACGATATATTCCTGATCATCCAAGTAACATTACCAATATTGGGATAGGGGTCCTGCTGTTGTGTAATAGAGGGCTGTGGGTGGTGAGGTGCCTTCCTTTAGATTACAGAGTGTCCTCAATTAAATGGGGAAATTTGCATTCCTCATGGGAATCTCCTATAATTTTTGTTACATGCTCAATAATAAGCCAACTTGCACCCTTTAGTAAAGTTCCAACAAATTTGTGGTATTTTATGATTAGATAAAAGAATGCTTGAGCAGATACCACATATTTTAATTGACTGCCATATTTAAAAGGGAATACGCTTGCTTGACCAGCTCAGTACCTTCTGAAATGAATGGTTCAATTAGCTTCCTGTTTCCAGTGAGCAACTCCCACTCACAAGCAATATGGCTGCATTTTTGCTTTGCCCTGCTTTATTGATTGATCGCTTGCTTGCTTAGCAATATGATTTGGCAATATCACAAATGTTATAAATATGCGTATGTACAACCATAAGGTGTTACATTTACAAACAATCAAACTGTTAATTGAAAACCACTTACAATGGTCATAGTTTTCCAGGCAGCTTCCAGCTGAAAACATACCTTAAACACTTCTAATTTTACCAATAAAAACTCTGTCTGCACAACCTAACTAACCTGATACTTGGTTATGGAGGCTTCTTTACATAACAAATTGTCTTAACAGTGATCAGTAACATCCAAATATCCAACTAATTATATTCTTAACTGACATCTAATGAACATACTAACCATTGCAATTTCAAATAAATGTAGTCAAATCATAATTGTTGTGCTGTAAAACATAGTTTATTCAGATATTTATTTTATAATATTTTGTTAATGTAGGTTAATCCAAAATGTAATCTCAGAAAAAATTAGAAAACGTATTTTCTGTCATATTAAATTCTCTAGGACAATTTATTTTTAAAGGACAGCCACATGAAAACAATTATTACATTATATAGGGATGGAGGTAGGGCTTGTCATGTTCCATATAATGCAGTTTTTAATGAGGTCCTGTCCAAGTCATGAGCTGTACCTGGAGGTCAGTTAGATGCTGAATATTTACATGCCTCATAGTCTTGATGGCTCATTGATTTGTCTTTTGCCATATAGGCATCTGAATGAGCATGTCATTAATATAACATTGCTTTTTTTTGCCCTCCTGCATGATCCAGATATTGGATGACATTTGGTCAATGCTCCAAAGATCAGATCACACCAATTTTATTTTGAAAAACTAGCTGCTCATCTAGAGTCTGTGTTTGTACAGCAAATATCAAAAAAGGTTATCTAAGCCCTTAAATTCGCTGATGTATTCCAAATCATCTACAGCAATGGAATCATTTTCAAGGCAAAATTGATAATTAGTTATAGTGACCCTTTGCTAATATTGAGCATTTATCTGCTGGCCCAGGTTTATATTTTACTACTTATATTACCTAATTCTTTCCCATCTTTTTTTACCCAGTGAGCCAGACCCCATCAACAAAAGGTAAGAAGGCATTTAATGATATACGCATTATTGCTATACTAATCTTTGGTTTTACTGTTATAGTTATTATAATTGTATTAAGAATACATATGATTAATTCAGCAGGCAATCTTGGGCTCCCAGTAACAAGACAACAACAACAACAACCACTGAAGAATCCAAAAGGTATTTATGCAAAGAATTTGTAATGTCTTGTCTATCACCTCTCTTATTTTTGCTATGGCGGAAAAGATCTAAAGGGCTAAAGATGTCTCCTCTAGGCAGTAGGTGTATCAATATCCTACTAGCATGTATGTCTATGGGCATCACCAGAACTGCTCTTATCTCAACACAATAACAAATTATCTGAAAAGCTTCATCCAGATAGAACATTAGCCGATCTCTTTTAAGAGATCTGTGCAGTGTGTCTTCAGAGATCTGCAAACTCTATTATACTTTATCTTCCTCTTCTTTCCATTAAGGGCACTAAGAATATATATTTATATATATTTAAGTTTTACAGGAAAATTAAAAGTTTGAATTGAACTCCAGCATCTCTGTATCTCCTCATCATTTGACATGTATTTTTTTTTTTACTAATGGTAACCCGAGCAAATGCTTAGTTAAAATTGACCAAATTTGTAACAGATTGCTGTCCAATTTGTTACAGGAGCTCTAATTGCTTAGCATTCTCTTTTTCTTGACCACTCCCCACAATGACATCAGCAAAGTCAAAGCTTGAAATTTAATCCTATGGCAATTCAATACTTTTTTCTCCTTGTATACATCATTTAACTTGTTTGGGATTTGTAATGTAGCAGTTAAGTGGTCATTTATTTTATATTCTTTCATTTCTATCCTAATACTGACATAACTTGATCATTTTACCATCCTGTCATAGAGTGTAAATGTCATGGAAACACAATAGCTGGGTCTGCAATCCCAATATTCACCTTTCTCCATTACACCTCCTACTCTGCAGCATCTCGTACTCAATGGGTCCCTTAACATAGTGATCTAGCTAAAGTGCATGCCCTCAGAGATTACTGTGACCTTTCCTGTCAGCACAAAGTAGTCCGTAAATCTCCTCTGCACTCATACTATTAATATTTCACTTAGGGAATTGGAAGCCCAAATGGTAAATAGTATATAAGTGATTTTATGTAAGGTTGGTAAAGATTTATATAGATACTACAGTCAGAAAACACAGAGACTCATTACTGAAAATAAATAATCACATTTACTTTTTTTGTTATATCAGTAGGAGTGAAGGGGATATAAAAATACACTATCATGCCAACATCAAATTAATATCTGGGTGGGAATTTTGACCTATTTAATACATAATGTTTTAAATGAAGTAGACAGATACATTGCTGTCAGACTCAGGGCTGGTGCAAGGATTTTTGCCTAAACAGGCGAAGCTGCATTTTTGCGCCCCCCACACGCCCTCAGACGGCTGCTTCAAATTGTTTTGGAAAAGGTTAGAAAAAAAAAATTCGGTTTCGGCCTTGTTTCTTTTTTGAAATTTTCATTTTGGTGCACCTCTAATATTTTTTTGAAAAACTTTTTTTAATTTAATTTTTTTACTTTTTTTAATTTTAATTTATCTGATTATCTTTTACTTTTTTTTAAATAATGTTTTTTTATCTTATTTGCTATATTTTTCTTATTATTTGTTACTTTTTTTATTTTTTAATCTTACTATCTTTTACTTTTTTATTATTTTAATTGTTATTTTTTTCTTATTTTTTCATAATTTTTATTAATTTTATAATGTTTTATCAAATTGTTTTAAATTTAATTTTAATTCTTTTCACTTTAACTTTATTGCTATCACACAGGAGCTAACAAGCCCCTGTGTGATAACATATGGAGATGAGGTTCTCTTTACTGAACTTGTCACCTCCAATACAGGAGTTTGAGTACAGCACTGAGCTGGAACTCCTGTGACAGCTGAGACGAAGGGCTGCCAGTGCAGCTCTCCCCTCACTGTCTCCTTAGAGCATCTCCGGCGGCAAGAAAGGTAAAGTATAGTGCCCACTTATGTTGGTGGTCAGTGGTTAATAGCCCCCATACACTGGAGGTCAGTGTAACAATGCCCCCTAACATTGATGGTCAATGTAAGATGAGCAAAAAAAATCATTGATGTCAGTGGTTATGTACCTAGGAGAACAGAGACTCCACTTCCCCGTGCACCAATGGTTTTGTCTCTGATGTATGTTACAATCAGCGATTGGATAAAATAGCTATATTTTTTAAATGGGTCACATTTAGCATTTAACCTTCACATGCATATTATTCTTCTGCAGGTGCACTCACAAACACAAATGATACAATGTGTACTGCAATAATGCAGGTGGCACTGTAACCTATTACTTTTCTGGAGTGAAAAGAGTTCATGTCTGAGAACTCTTTGTTCAGTCTTTTTTGTAAGAATAACTGTATGAATCAGAGTTTGTACTGGACAAGCTTTGCTTACTTTGGCTTTATTCACAGCATTGTACTCATAATGGAAGAAATCAACATGAATGCTTGTAGTGTTCTTTGCATCCTGTGTTATTATCATTGTTGCATTTAATTTCGCCACTGTAATTTACAAGGCGTCAGCATTAAACCTGACACAGACAAGAGATAATAGACAAGAATGTGTGAACTATTACTATCAACATTTTATGTATTCATTGTGATTGTTAATTTAAATATTGATAAGAGAATGGTTGAAAAATAGTTAATAGACAGTATAACAATTTGCACTTGCTAGTCGGGAATTGTATTTCCTATTTAACATCAGTATCTGAGACAAACATTTACCTGCAGATATACTGTTTACTTGTAGCCAGTCATGATTTTTTAAAGTGTGAATATGGGCAAAATCATGTAAAAACATATTTTCAGTACATCTTTGAAATATAATTCCCTATGTTTTATCTCTTTTAATAACAATACAAGTTCACAAAAATACCTTTTAATCTGTCAGAAATGTGATGTGTTCCTAACTTCCTATTTGGGTTCACAATACAGTAGCTTTGCTGTACTGAAACCTCCAACCAGCAGTGTCAGCACTGCCTGATGGGCTACAGAACTCTAACAGGGTTATTCACCAAGCTGCCGTAGGAAGCCGAGTAATGTCAGAGAAGAAGTGAACAGAGCCGAACGACGCTCGGCTACTCAATCTGGCTCAGTACGGCTGATTTCAGCCGTACATCGGCTGAAATCAGCAGTACATCGGCTGATTTCGACTCCAACAGAAGGATTTCGACTCCAACATCTGGATTGGCTGACTGAAGCTCCGACAGCTCACTTGCTGCCGTTGGCCCCTATTCTCATAGGGGTCGAATAGCAGTGAGTGAATAGCATTCGGCTATTCTGCTCAGCACCTCCGTGGTACTGAGCAGAATAGCCAAAAAAGTGCAAAGTATGTTAAAAAAGAAAAAACAAATTGCAAAATTATTTAAAAAATGTTAAAACATAGAAGGATTAAACAAAAAATAAAAATATTTAATAAAAATATATATTTTTTAAATTTAAAAAAACAACAACAATTGGGCGGTGCTAGCAGTGACAGCTAGCTCCGCCCAACTGTTTCCTATTGTCCATCACCTGCCGGAGTCTTCTAGCAGGTCCGGGCCAATGAATAACAACTGGGCGAAGCCAGCCGTGTCATCACGGCCAGCTCCGCCCAGTTGTTATTGTTTAATGATAGATCAGCGTCTGGGGATGCTGAACTGTAATTACAACTGGGCGGAGCCAGCTATGAAATCATGGCTGGTTACACCAAGCTGTCATTTGCAAGAACGGCTGGCCTTCAGCAGGCCGTTCGCCCCACTTCGGCTGTCACTTCGGCTCAGTCAGGCCGAAGCATATGCATGGGGCAGCACAGGGGCATAGTGGTTAGTGCTTCTACCTTTCATCATTGGTGTCCCTGGTACGAATCCTGGCCAGATCACTAACTGCAAGGAGTTTGCATATTTTCCCTGTGCTTGTGCGGGTTTCCTCCGGGTACTCTGGTTTCCTCCCACACTCCAAAGACATGCTGGTAGGTTAATTGGCTCCTCTCTAAAGTTCGCCCCTATGTATGCATGTGAATGTGCAACTATGTAAATCGCTGCGTAAAATTGTCAGCGCTATACAAATACCTGAAATAAATAATTAAAATAAATATACCTTTGCTTGGCTGCTGTACAGCTGCTATTGTGAATAGCCCGTACAGCAGCCCTTCGGTTCGATTCAACCGAAGGGCTCTGGTAGCCGAAGGATCAGTCGAAGCTACTAGCTAGTGAATAACCCCTTAAATATAATTGATTTGTTTTCCAACAAAACAAAGCTGCGGCTGCAGCCTTGGCCCCCTAAGTATGCCTACACACTGTGGGCTCTTTGGAGATGTAGGCTGTGCCTAAATCAATAGGAACTAACCTCCTGCAAGAATTTCTACAAGTCTGGCATTGATGGCACAGGGAGCAATTAAAAGCTTTTTCTCACTACAAGATAAAATAAAATAATGCTGTTACATTCACTAGAGGGTGACAGGGTGGTTTGGGGTTAAAATCTGGGCAATGTCTGGATATACCCTTTAAGCTTTGTTGATTAGAGGGCAAGATATAGTAAACATATCAGTATATTCAGGGCCATATTTCGGTGCCCTTTTGTACATGCTTCACCGTTTGCTTCCATTTTTGTAAATACTACTGATAGGTTGCACTACTGGAGGTAGCTTTCTTTCTGCCTTACATGCACACCTATATTTCAGCCAAACAGACCACCAAACAAAAGAAAGGAGAGATGTTCCATGAACAGACTAACACCCTTTTGCTGCTATACAACGCAGCTTCTACTCTACTCTAGATGTTCTGCTGAATTTAGCAACAAGTGTCCAGAGAAGCTCATAACAGGGAAACACAATAATAAAAAAGTTATAACCAGAACTGTCCCTATAATGAGACATCCTGATACAGTTGCCTCAGGTGGCATCTCATTGGGTCATGTGGGGCACACCTGCTACCCCTGGCCAGAGCGTTCCAGGTTGCTAAGAGCTCTTAACTACCAGGGACACTCTGGACGGCTTCCTGCCCAGCACACTGATGTGACTGGTTGTCAGGACATCAGTGAAATGGGTGGGATGCTGAAAAGAGGTACCACCCCTCTGGACCGAGCAGCACCAGCGCCACCAACTCCTCCCCCTGCCCCTAGGACCGTACGGTACCAGCGGCATCAGCCACCCCCCAAACTGTGCAGTGCTGGCAGCAAATGCCCCGACTGTGCAGCACAAGCAGCAACCCCACCCCCTGGACCATGCACCCCCAGCTTCCATTACACATCTCCAGCCCCCACAACCCCCCCGCCTCAGGCAGCGAATAGCGTAGGTACACCCCTGGTTACAAAAATGAGTAGGTTTTAAAATGTGGTGCTGCTCCCCTTACCCTGGAGGCTAGCCACTGTCCTGTATGCACCATTATAAAAAATTCAGCCCAGAGTATATCATTGCATACTTTATTTGTCTTATTTTGTAGCACCTTGTCCAATTTAATTTAATGCAGTTAACTAAAATTTAGTCTAATTTAGTTATTACATTTTTGTTGTTGTTGTTATGCATATATTAAACTGTATATAATTTGATTATTTTACATAGTTACATAGTATTTGGGGTTGAATAAAGACATACGTCCATCAAGTCCAACCCATATAGGTCCACGCATGATCTCATTCTTAGGGATACTGGTATCCCTGGATATTGCGGTCCCTCAAGAAATTGTCCAAACGTTTCTTGAACAAATCTACACTCTTGGCTGAAATCACTGCCGATGGCAGTGAGTTCCAGACCTTAACCGCTCTTACTGTAATCCGTACGTCAAACCCATCTCCCTCCTGAGTGTATACTGAGGAGAAAAAAATTGTTCAGCACCTCGGCCCTCTCCTTGTCACTTGTGAGTAACTTCCCGTTTTCGTCCTTTATTGGGCCTATCTGCTCCTTTCTTACCTTTTTACTGTTAATATATTGGTATCATTTTTTAGGTTTTTTTTTTTACTATCTGCTATTGGTCTATTATTGCTATTAACTATTTGGTCCCTTTAAGAGAATAGCATGTTTTTTTTAGTATGAAGTTTCATTTACTCATATCCATGCATATTTAGATGGACAAAATGCCTAAGGTTTATTGTGTGTGATAAGGATTTTCTACAAGCAGAAGAATAAAACACAGCATGAATGCAGAATAATTAGTTATTTAGCACAATTGGATTTGTCTTTATTATGTAGTGAAAATTATCTTACAAATTGTCTTACAAATCTTCATTACAACTTTCTTTCATGATTAAATAATTGACATGCATGCATAGTAACAGAGAAAACCTGTCTGAAAAATGATTTTTTTCCATGCAGGAAGTCCTGGGCTCCAACAAACAGGAACACAACCACCACAACTACCACAACCAGCACAGAAACCAAACAGTAAGAAAAATATAACATATTCTTGTGCAGAACTACTCTGGAACTACTTACAGCTAAGGTGTAAATCTCACAATGTTCAGCTAAATGTAGAACACCTAGAAATACTGTACATTTAGGGTTCGATTAACTAAGCTGCCAAAGGATCTAGCTGTAGCTTCGGCTGATCCTTCGGCTAGCTTTGGCTTCACTTGTAGACCCCGTACAGCTCCCGAAGTCGGCCGAGCGGCTCAGTCGAGCCGAAGGCATATGCTTCTGCTCGGCTGAGCCGAGGTAAGAGCCAAAGCTGGCCGAGTGGCCAGCCATTGTCCGCCCGACAGCCTGCTTCCGACAGCTGGGCGGAGCCAGCCGTCATCTTACGGCTGGCTCCGGCCACTTGCAGAGAGATCAGTGTCCCTGGGTACCAGGTAACCAGGGACGCTGTCATACACACTAAGAACCCAGCCGGGCCACTATAATATCACCGCGGCCTCCTTGTTCTCAGTGTGTAATGGCAGATGGCGTCCCTGGTTACTTGGTGACCAGGAACGCCATCTGTCATTCATCCCCCGGATGCTCTGGGAGTATAATAGGCTCCCGGCCGCCCGGGAGAGAAACACTTTCTCCCAGAAAGGTTCACTGCTTAAACCTTTCCCTGCTCGTTTTTTTCTTTTTCTTCTGACATTGAAGCCGTTGGCTGCTGTCAGAAAAAAAAAGAAAAATCACAATAGGAATGCAAAGCTAGATTCCTATTGGCTATTTCAATTTGCAATAGCCAATAGCAAACTAGCTATTGCACCCGCCCACTGCTGCTGTCAATCAGCAGAGGGGGACCTGCAGTTCTCCATCAGGTCCCCCTCTGGTGATTGACAGCAGCAGAGGGCGGGTGCAACCTATTTTTTTAACTACAGCGGAGTCGAATGTAGCTCAGCGGCATTCGGCTATTTACTCACTCTGTTCGACATCTATGAGAATAGACCGAACAGCAGCGAGTAGCCTGCCGGAGGTTCGGCTTAGCCGATCCAGATGTTGGATCGGCTGAGTCGAACTCCTTCTGTACTTCAGGTCGGCCAAACATGCTGAGCATGTTCGGCCGACCCGAAGCCACGTGAAGCCACCTGATGTAAGGCTGATTTCAGTTGATATATGGTTGGAATCAGCCATACCAGCCTGAAGTGAATACCCGAACAGCGTTTGGCTCACTTGGCTTGGGGTCGGTTAGTCACTTGGCTGCCTACGGCAGCTTAGTGAATAGACCCCTTAGACCAGTCTGTGGTTAATCTCCATGATTAAAATAGAACCGAAGCCAAAGCCTTTTTTCCCATTTCAGATAGAGTAGTGAAGGGTTATAACCCCTGCCAGCTTTTTTGGGAATCTGTGTTCCACTGGCGATATTTCCCTTCTCTTCCTTCCCAATAGCCACAACAGGAAGTGAGAAGAAACACCTCCAAAGAGAGTGAAATGCCTGGTGATCAGTAGGGTCATCAGAACTAATGTCCCTATTGGAGGATTTCCCATCTCTTCCTGTTATTTTACTTTCACTTTTAGTGATAATGGTCATCAGGACAAATAGAGAGGGTGAATCTCTCTAACGGGGTTACGCACAGCAATAAAAGCTGACAAGTGTTCTAATCCATTTCCAGTCTTTTCAAAACCAAAAAAAAAAGGTTTTGGCTTCAGTTTTTCTGCATAAAATGTGTCAGATGAGCAGGGTC